TGAGTAGTATCGATATTCTACTTACATTATCAATACCTTAGGGTCAAGTATTGATACCCCTATGAGTATCAGTACTAAAAATGGTTTCTGGTGCTAAACATTTGGCTCAGTATCGATACCAGTATCTTGACTATTGATATTATAAGGGAAATATCGATACTCGCCCCAACAATAGCAATACTTCTATCTAATTTTTCCCAAAACTCGTCTAATATCATCCAATATCGACACTTGAACCTAAAAATGTCTTATTTAGGCTCAGAAACACCAAAAAATCACCTTAAGGTCTTAGTTTGGTTCCTAATCAAGGGCTACAGATTTAGGAAGTTACCTAGGGCCATAAAGAGTTATAAAAACACATACTTTACATCAAAATTCTTTATCTAATTAAAAATCAATTATAAACCTAAAATGCTCAAATACTCAAATTATAACAAATCTTCATTCTTATGAAAGCCTTAACACTACAAAGGATTATAAATACATTACATTTTTGTTAAAATCCGGAAATGGAGCTTCTTTAACCACCCAACACTCTCTTATAGAGTTTGGATGATAAAACACCATTTTTATTGTAAACAAAGAACCCAAAGCTTTGAGTCATTAAAATGATGTTGTTGGAGGAATTATGGACAAAAATAAAGCTTAAAAGAAGTATGAAATGACTCAAATGACTTACCCTTAGCAATGGCACTTGGAGAGGAAGAGAAGGAAGAAGAGAAGTGAGAATGAAGAAAGTGAAGAGAATATGAAAAGAGATATAAAATATCATATCTTTTAAAAATTGGATAATTAAACTTTAGGTCATTCTCATCTTTCTACAATTCAAAAATCCCCCTTTTATGGTTATGAGGTAATATCTTTATCCAATTAAGGCAACACTCGGCCCAACGACTTTAATATAAATTCATCGAAGCCCACATTCCTCTAAGGTAAACTTTAAACTGCTAGCTCGAAATTTGGGGTATTACAACTCTCCCCTCCTTGAAATAAATTGTGTCCTTGAAATTTACTTAGGTGGAACAACTCTTACTCTTGGGTCAAACATTTAGAACCCTCAAAACACCTAAACTCTTATCGGGCCTAATCCTTTAAGAAAAAGACCTCGTAACATTATATGTAACTTGAAATTCGCACAATCGATCTACAATTTTCTAAAGGGTGCTACCTACGTCGATCAATAAGCAACAACCTACGAGAGGCCCAAGGCCAAAGAATCTCATTCTTCACGTCTAATACTGAGTGCTCGAACATTTCACAAGAAAAATGCTAATCTACGATTTAAACTGCTATTATTGACCCCTTTCATTGGCTAACACCTGCTAAGTCGAGTTAACACACTACATAATTATTTAAATCTCTGATCCTTACTAAACTTAGGTAACTCATCATGGTACATGACGAGATCTTATGGAAACTTGCCAAACCTAGTCTCAAAGTCGTCCATTGAAGATATGATAATGATTCCTATCTCTTTACATATTGTTCTGACATTTCTATGGCACAACTTTGATTCAATATTCAATCACACTACCTGACTGTTCCTTATTTTCCTTATAGTTTTCATACGCACTACTCACCAAATCGTGCATCAAAGGTACTTACAATTGGAAAAATTGGCCATTTATCTAGCAAAACTAGCAACATCTAGCTCTCTTGGAGAGCACGCCTCATAGAGTAAAGATCTCTCGCCATCATACTTTGACTTAAGAATTCTATGACTCTATGACTTATAAACATGATCACTTACCACCACTGAGATATTCGATGAAAACTAACATTGGTCGATCAACGCTTAAAGTACTTGGTCTCTTTTTGAGAAAGAACTAAAATTCATTGTCCTGCACAACGTGCATACTACTATGTGTTGTATATAGCTCGCGCTCATATACCAACACAAAGATATCATGAATGAGGTTTGGCTCACCTAACTAAACCACTTACTGATCATGCACGAATACATCATGACAAAATCGGAGGGTTCTTTGTACCTCGAGACTTACAACTCACTATCTTACCTATAGTACCCTTCGTACTTAGGGTGATATTCTAGTACTGTTGCATCGGAATATATACCCTACTAACTTACTCCTCATGAGTACTTAGGCTCTTTCCCTAGTTAGCCACTAAATCACCTTGGCACTAATTGAGACATATCCTGGTATTTATAGCAATAAGGTGATCGACATATTGGCTATAACAACCTGGGTATTCTCAACACTCTCGTGGAGATCTTTACCTCCTAGGATGAACTTGGGATTACTAAACCTCTACGGGTTGATCATATAAACCCTCTACTGGCAATGCAAAAACATCCTTAAAGTCTAGTATATAACTTGACAACTCACACAGATATTCTCCTGGGGAACACACAAGGGTGGATGATTCCATGGCTCAACATTTTCTTAAACCTTCAACTCAACAAGGAACAACCACTTATTCTCCTATCTCTAAACCCGCAATCATGAGGTTAAAACAACACTTGTGCAAACAACTTCCTTTAGGTCAATTACCGAGCCTGACCCAAGCCCTCAAAGAATAACTAAGGTAACCTTGTTTATTCCACTAAGACCTACCAACTAAGCACTTGGATACTCCCACTCGGATCCTCTACACGAATACTTTTCCGACCCAGTTCACTTGATACCGCAAAAGAATGCATGCACTAACATTTATTGGAGCAACACAAAAAACTAAGGTAGAATAAAATATATCTAGCATGTCATCAGCAACATCAACGTCTAACCCTACCTCTTTGTTATCTGACAAACTGGATTGCGCATAGTCAAATTAGGAATTGGTCGATCCACTCATTTACTCCCATTTCTGAGCATAAAATCTACACCCCCTAGGTAGGCTATCTTCCATGCTGAACTACTAGGATTAAAGTCGAGCTGAGACATTGCCATCTGAACTAGGGCAATCCCTCACTATATGTGTCTTGGATCTATATCTATAGCACTTCTTAGAAAGTTCAAATCACCTTTCTCGATGATTTCTTCCATAATGCTTGCACTCTAGATACCTCAAAACTCGATTAAAGCCTTTAGATCTCATCATAAACAGTGAAGTTGGTGGTCTCTTACGAAACCCTATATCTGACCTCTAACTCAACTAAAGTGACAAATCTGATGCCAATCTCCTCTAAACACATAGACCTATGTCCCTTCTGCCACTCACTAAGATATATTTACTAGTACATAAGTCCTCATACTCAGGGTGCCTGACTCACCCGAAAAACTCTTGTTCATACTCTGCATACCCACTCCACGGTCTTAGCCTGTCGTGACAACTCTAAAAATACCATATGCGGGTCAATTACCAACCACACATAGATATCAATATAAAGTCCCTCAAGGAACCTTCTGCAGCTAATGACTCAGTCACAACTAATTTTGGATTGTAACGTATTAACCAAAGAAAATCTATCTCATACTCTTTACTGCGCGGACTCCCTAAACTAATCGAGAGAACTATATCCTCAAACCATCTATATATGTCATACCGATATACTTGCCTCTAAAATCATTTTGGAAATTATCCTACAAAGACACCTCTGGTTGTAGAGCCATCTCTATAGTTTCTCACCAATCAATAGTATCACCCTTGAGTAAGAAGGTGATGCACTTTAACTTACCCTCTAGGGTAAGGTGAAGTTGTCTCAAAGTCCTCATGATGTCCCTCGACCACTGATCAACCAAAATCAGATCATCATTGTCTGAACTAAAGAAGTCAAATATCTTTTACCTTCTCAATCTCTCTACTAGGGACTCTATGGGCACTAACGTACTCAATGTGGTTGGCTGAACGGTTGATGCCCTAGGAATGATGCCAACTATCTCTTTGAGAATGTAAGTCAAATCTTTGAAGAAGGTTGCCTCTACGACTCCTGTACCTAATGGGATCTCATATCTTCTGCCCTATGCAGGAACTCATCGCTAACGCTAACAAGATGAGAGGCTCGACTCTCCATCATATCCTCCAAACCACGCTCGAAACTATCGACCATCGTAAAACTCTACAACACATATTAAAAAATTGAGCACCATCAAGATTCCAGACTTATAGAAGTACTTTAAGTACTTCGTGACAAGTATTCACTAACACCTTACTAAAATTGACCACCGGGTCCTAGGACTGACTCAATCTAATACTCTGATACCACTAAATGTAACACCCTAAACCTGATTCATTATCTTAATTTTTATTGTCTTAATCTTGTGTTTGTTTTAATATTTAGCAACCCTAATTCATACATCATCCATCTTTGTCGTCAACCACATCTAATATTTCCTCTCATTCTTTGATCGAGTCTAGAGCTTTCTAAGTTTGATTCGTCAATAAGAGTAACATTCATTCACCCACTGTCGCTTCTCTATCGACATCGAAGCTCAGTGTTGTATCTTTTAGCCTGTTGTACCGGGAACTGCTTCTCTATCATCACAAGTCACTAAGGGACATTTTAGAGGTTTGCAGTTTCCTTTGGCTGGCATAATACTACTAACAGTTCATTAAGGTATTGTTGATTATTTTCGTTTCTTTAACTAATTTGATCCTAAAGGTAGTTTCGTTTGAGTAGATGAAATGCGGCAGAGTTTCGAATAATTTAAAACTATTTTAATCAAAGTCACATTTTTAACTTAGTTAGAGTTTAGAAAAGACTACGTCATTTAACAATGTTTCGTTCAGTGGATTTAGATGTATGTATCCTTCTCTAAACAACATTGTTTAAAGTCATACCAACGTAGTTATCACACTTATGATTTAAAGTCGTAATATCTCTAATTATATTACTCAGATTAAATTTAGAAGATAAAATGTTTTATTAAATAATAAAAAATTAAACGTGTGTATCCACGTTACCACAAACAAAATAAAATAAAAACTAAAATCAATAAATTAAGTAGTATTCACATGTTCTTCACATGTAATAACGAATAATAATTAACTTTTTCAGTAAAAGAATACCTTATTTCCATATCATCAATATATTTCATTCACACCTTACACATGCAATAACGAAGATGATGATGATCTAATCACTATCACTGTCACTATCACTGCCGCTCTTATGGCCGTCTTCATGCTTCTTTTTCCCCTTCTTTTTCTTCTTCTTCTCTCCATCGTTGTCAGGGCCGTCCTTGTCCTTCTTGTGATGCTTATCATCTTTGACTTTTTCTTTCTTGTGGTGTTTGTCATCTTCTTCTTTTTCGCCAGTGATCTTGTCCTTAATCTTATCTATTATCCCTTCATCTTTATCATCTTTGTGATGTTTATGATCCTTGTGATGTTTATCATTTTTATCTTTCTTGTGATGCTTATCGTCATCGTCTTTGTCACCGGTAATCTTATCTTTAATCTTATCTATTATCCCTTCATCTTTATGATCTTTGTGATGTTTGTCCTTCTTTTCTCCTTTCTTCTGGTCCTCGCTGTCGCCTCCCATCATGTCCTTCAACTTATCTACAATTCCTGACATTTTTTCAACTTTTCTATTATGATCTTTATTATTGCAATGGGAAAAGATATGCTATGAGGTTGTCATTTATACATTTGCATCTATTGTATAAATTACTATATTGTCCTCATTGCGATTATATTGTGGATTTCCTCTTTGCCTAATTTTAGTTTACTTTTATAGGATAAAAATGAGGGAGAACTAAAATTAAGCCCTCCCTTTCGTTGGCTTTTCTCTCTTTTGAATTAATTAATATAAATTAAATTAATTTTCATTCAAAAAATTAACGATATTAATTGTGTTGCGTAATTGTTATGAAGGTTTTAGACGATTAACTTCTTTAAATTGAGGGGAGAGTTATGACCATCGTTAGTTCATGTGAACTGAAGGAAATGATGAATATTTAAATCTATTTAGTTATTTATAAAAAAAACAAAGAATCTATTTAGAGACAGAGTTTAGGATCTCTTATAGTCATGCATGGTGACTTATAAAGTGACCCTTAATGTTGGTGTTAGATCTAAGACGATGATGATTATTTGTAGGCTAATAGAGCTAAAAGATATGATTGTTGTATAATAAATTTGATTTTGACAAATCACGTGAGTCAATTAAAGGTCATATTAAGGGATTATAGTCGTCCGAAGAATATTAAATTTCGGAGGCTCCGACAGGAAGAGGAACAACAACAAAGATGCAACTTACGAAGCAGGTATAACACTTGATGCAACAATATCCTTCTCTTGAGTGAGAGAATGTCATAAAAATAATTAAGTGACTAAAATGAAATTTTGAGAATAGATAAATAATTAAACACGTAATTTACACTTTAAAAAATAATTTAAACCTTTACTTAAAGAATTAAATTAAACCCCCAAACAATTTTGTCAAAAACCGCTACTCTATATTTCCCAATGCTATTTATATGTTTTCTCCAAAAGGATTATTTAAATAGTGTATATATATATATATTCAAAAATAGTTAATATATATTTATTCTTTTAGTAAATAGTGTAGTTACAAATCATAAGGCCAGTTGCCACGTACATATTCATAACCAACTTTATCCCTACAAGCAGTCGCTCTCCACTGTGACATAGCGATGACACATCTACTAGGCACATAGTGTTAAATTGTCACTCCCGCAATGTAACGTTTTTTAAGATTAATGTAACATTACAATTTTTATTCGTAATACAAAAATATCGAGAACTTTAAGTCGTAATGTTCTCAATATCTATAATTGTGAAATGTAATCATAACCGCAACAGCGACTGCAATCATAATTTAGTACTATGATCAGGGAACTTCAAGTCCCACGAGCACAGTCTACTATTAAGAACATTGCAAACGGCACCAGATTACAGGAGGAGGAGCATTAGAAGCAGAAGAAAGAGGAAAAAGAATCAAAGAAATGAAGCTTGCCACTAGGGTTTAGAGAAACTGACAGATATATTGAAGAAAAGGTTTTAGGGCTATTGTTATTGAATAACTATGTACGCCCAGATTTTCAGGGCTTCCCTGCAGGGATGGACCTAAGCCATGGGCGGGGGGAGGGCAAGTGGTCCCTTGATCCCACCAATTATATTTTAATTATTAATTAATATAGAAAAATATATATTTTTAAAAAATAAAAAAAAATTATCCTTCAATTAAAAAAATATATATTTATAGAAAATAAAAAGTTATTTTAGCCCTGCTATAGTAAATTTGTAGTTCTGCCCCTGACTTAAGCGGGGATGGGAATGACGATCGTCCCTCTGAAAATTTAAAATTATTATATATTTAGATTTTATTTATGTATTTTTTATTCAAAATTTCCTTTCAGCCCCTTGAATTTTATTAATTCATGTTCGTCCACTCTAAAATTTATTAAGTTCAAATTTGCTCCTAAAATTAAATCCTACATGTCGCCCTGCTTTACTAGCTGAATGTTATTTCTTATAATGTTTTCCTTTCTTTCGATGGTGTTGAGTTTGACGGGTGTAATTTCATTTGAATGTGATATACTTTTTCTTGTCTATTGAGGTCTTAAGAGTAGTTCTGTTGTAGTCATTTGCTTGTCATTATTGGATTTTGGTGTACTTGAAATGCCATCAGTTGCACGGATAGGTGAGATGACTTTGAGCATATTGTTCGATTTTTCCTCGAGCAAAACATGAGTCTCTAATGCGTTGGCTGGTTTCTGTTGTTGTGAACCCTTTTTAAAGCTTTCTTATTATAGGTCGGTTGGGAGGATGGTTTCTTTTTTTTTTTTCCGATTGATCGTTGATCTTCATGTTCCAATTCCATGGTGAAAGAGAGAAGCATTCATATCTTGTTGATGGTTATTTTAGATTAACTTCTAGTTTTTTGGTCCTAATAGGGGAAAAAAAATTATTTAGCCCAATAGAACATGTTGGTATTTAATTTGGGATCTACGGTATTTGCTACATTGAATCGAGGTGACGAGTCTAGTTAAAAATTAATTTTTAACCTTTATTGAATAATTTAAATTCTTTTAAAAAAAATCCAAACTTATCACGTCGAGGTGACGAGTTCGGTGATATTTTTGAATTAACTAGCCATTTATGAACGTTGCACAACGGGCATATTACAACGGTCACTATAAAACTCGTCACCTCGAGGTGACGAATTTAGTGGATTTTTGAAATTAGTAGTCGTTTTATACTATTGGGAGTGGGCTTATAAATAGAAGTTTTAGGTTTAGGTTTTTTATTGTGTTTTGTTAAGAAAAAAAATCAGGAAAAAATTCAAATATTTCGAAAAATGTCAACCAGTGATGAAATGTTACGCCTCGATGATGTCCATATTTCTTTGCTCGAGCTTGGACCAGATGAAGAACGGAGTGTTCGTTAAAGATGAATGGGTCTCTCATATCCGCACCAGCACATATTATATATTTTAAACAATATGAGTTGTATCCAGCGACGCTTTTGCGTGGTTTTAAGGTGAAACCAACATTTATCATGGCTCTAATTGAACGTTGGAGGCCAGAGACGCATATTTTTCATTTTTCGAGTGGTGAAGCGACAATTATGCTGGAAGATGTCACTTACCAACTCGGTGTTATAGTTAACGGTTTAGCGGTAGTGAGGTACACGATTTCAACTTGGTTCAGAATTGTTCCCAAAGCTTTGGGAAAGTTGTGTGATAATTGTTGTTTTGCTATCAAAATAATTCCAGCTTTTTAATAAATATAAAAGAAAAGTAGTATAGAGAAGCAAGGTCGATCCATAGGGACTGTGGTGTTTCTAATTTAGTAGAATTCTTTTTTGATTTAAAAGAAAATATAGTTCGAGATGAAGTTGAAAAGATATAATAAAATAAATAATTATAATTTAGAAAGGGAAAATAATAAAATAATAAATAGTAATAGTAATAAATATAAAAGGGGATTTTTAAATTATTTAAAGAAATAAAAGATAAAGATTAAAAATAAATAAAATAGATAGGGATAAATAAAACTTATTGTAAAAGCAGCCTCAGACTTTAACTTTGCCTAAAATTCCTCGGATTATCGAAACTGATTTTTACTTCAAGATTCACGTCGCTTACTACAAGAACAATTCATCGCTGCCGACTCAGATTTGTTTCAACAATAACTGATTTCGATCTCTGTTTCCTCTTAGCAAACAATTTTGCTAAGTGTGTTTTCAGGAAGTTGAATGTGCTTTAATAATCCAATCCTTCTTCCAAAGTTAACCATGACAATATCCATAACAATGTCGAAAATCGTTTTGATTTGAAAAATAAGCCCATAAAACAAAGAGAAAAATCTGAAGTGATTTAAGTACCTTACAATTCTCACGTTTGGAATTGAACCTTCGCTTTAGCCTTCGGCTTAAAAGAAAATTACCTAAGCATGACCAAAGTCATACTTAGCATATTTGAAAATAAAATTTTAAAGGGAAATAAAGGAAGTATGCGAAAAGAATATTTAATTCTCAGATGAGAGAGATAAAAGATAACTCCTAAAATAATATTTTTTATCCTACTAAAAACACTTAAAACTATTTAAACTAAAATACCTAAAACAAAGATAAACTAAAATACTATATAAAATAATATCCAAAATCCTAATTGAAATACTAACATATATTTAAACTAAAATACAAAGATAAAATATAATGTTTAAAATATTATCCTAAACTTGAGTTCAATCCAAATCCGAATTCTAGAAACGTGTGGCCAACCCATTCGTGCTTCTAGAAACGCTGACTGGATCTTCTAGAAGATGCTGACATCATCGTCTCGTCGGATGTTTCATGCCCGAATTCATGCCCACTAGTCCAGCTTCGATTCCGAAAAAAAAACTATAGTATTCTTTCCTTTTAGTGCAATTTCCATAATCTGACGTCCAACACAGAAAATGAATCAAAACGAACAAATAAGCCATAAAAACCAATGTTTGAAGAGTAATTTAAAGGCAAATATTAATTAAATTAAGCACTTATCAAATTCCCCCTCACTTGTTCAATGCTTGTCCTCAAGCATTCATCAATTAACACATTAAAATCACAAGTTGCCATATTCAATTTCAATTTATTCCTCAAACTTCCAATTGACCTAAGTCCATGACATTTACCGAATTCAAGTTGCAATCAAGCAAGGACACAACTAAATAAATTTAAAGTAAGTAAGATATCCCAATTAATTGCCAATTTCAATGAAACATGACTCAAAATCTCACAAAGATTCACACATATCGGCTCAAAGTGTTTGGGGTAAATGAAATTGCTCAAACCGAAACTAACCAAAATATTACCATAGGCTTGGAATCCAATCAAGTCTCCACTACGAAAAATGAACATAATGCAATAATCAAGGGGTCTTTAAACAAGGTGTAACGGGGCTTAGGTTAGGGTAGGGAAAATGCCAAAAAGAAAGGTTTAAAATACCAAAACAAGAGATCAAAATAATTAAGAACAATCCACGAATTGACATGATGCGCAATGAAAAATAAAAAAGAAAAAAGAATAGTTGAAAGACAATTGAAACGATCGATTTTTCCTTCTTTTTTCTTTTTTTTCGAACAAAGGTTTTGTTTTTATT